GCGCTCCACGCACCCCGGGGGGGGCGGGGGGGGGTGACGTGGGGGTCTCTCCGCTCCCCCTCCTTCGTCCCCGACCCCCGCAGCACACGGGATGCCCAAAGGGGGGGTCCCTTCCCACCCCCCCCGCATGCCCGCCGGCAGCATGGCTCTGTGTCCCGATGCACGCTGTTACGGTCCGTCCCCTGCGCTGTGCTGGCGGTGTGACAATAAAGTCTGTGCGGTGAGGCGGGCGGTGTTTGTGCCCCCCCGGAAGGGTGGGGGGCGAGGGGGGGGCGGTGGGGTCACGGCGTCACATCGAGGAGCCCAAATAACAGCACTCCCCCCCCTTATCCAGCAGCAGCCCTACAGAAGGGCGCAGCGCTCCGACCCCTGAGTGTGGGGTGGGGGGGGGGGGGGGGGTGGGGGGACTGTGCCACCCCCGCTGCCATCTGCTGCCATCTGCCGCCATCTGCCCGCACACCGCAGGGCGCTCAGCTCCGTGCCGCTGCCCGCAACGCGCTGCTCCCATCTGCTGCCCCCCCGCACCGCCCGCAGCACCGCCCGCATCGCCTCCGCACGGCGTCACCTCCGCAGCCTCCCCTGCAGCGCCGCCGACATCTGCGTGCAGCGCCGCGCACCTCCTGACGGCAGCGCCTGTGCATCCCCTGCAGCGCCGCCTGCGTTGCTGTGCATCTCCCGTCTGCCGTCTCTGGGCATCGCTCTGCATCCCCTGCAGCGCCGCCTGCATCCCCATGCATCCCCTACATCACATCACTGTGCAGCCCTCTGCATCCCCTACATCACGTCACCCATGCATTCCTGTGCATCGCCTACAGCACTGCCTGCATCCCCTACATAACATCACCTGTGCAGCCCGGTGCATCTCATCTGGCATCCCTCTGCATCCCCTGCAGCACTGCCTGCATCCCCATGCATCCCATATATAACATCACTGTGCAGCCCTGTGCAGCCCTTACAAAACATCACCTGTGCAGCCCTCTGCATCCCCTGCAGCACCGCCTGCATCCATGTGCATCTCCCATATGACACCCGTGCATCCCCCTGCAGCCCCCATAGCACCACTGCACCCCCTCACCCCCTGCGTCCCCCCAAAACTCAGCCCCACAGACGGCCCCACCAATGGCCCCATAGGTGACCCCACAGATGCCAGTACTGCAGTCCCTCAGCCCTACAGACCCCACAGATGGTCCCACCAACAGCCATACAGATGACCCCATAGATGGCCCCACAGCCCCACGCCAATGGCCCCACAGACAGCCCCACAGATGACCCCACAGTCCCACAGCTGACCCCACAGACCACCACCAATGGCCCCATAATGAGCCTCCAGCCAGCCCTACAGCTGACCCCACAGACAGCTCCACCAATGGCCCCATAGGTGACCCCACAGACAGCCCCACAGATAGCAGTACTGCAGTCCCTCAGCCCTACAGACCCCACAGATGGTCCCACCAACAGCCATACAGATGACCCTGCAGATGGCCCCACCAGTGACCCCATAGACAACCCCACAGATGGCTGCACCAACAGCCCCACAGATGACCCCATAGATGGCCCCACAGCCCCACGCCAATGGCCCCACAGACAGCCCCACAGATGGCTCCACAGACAGCCCCACAGATGGTCCCACAGACAGACCCACAGATGACCCCACAGCCCCACAGACGACCCCACAGACCGCCACCAATGGCCCCATAATGAGCCTCCAGCCAGCCCTACAGCTGACCCCACAGACGGTCCCACCAGCAGCCCCACAGATGCTCGCACAGTTCGCCCCACACACATCCCGCAGCGGGGGGGCAGCAGGGATGCTCCCAAGCAAACGGCCCATCCACGCCCCCCCAAATACAAGAGCCTTTATTCCGTGACACGGGACGGGCAGCCCCCCCCCCTACAAACCCCCCCCCATCGCAGGGGGGCCCGGTGACCCCATCACCCCCCGCAGCCCCACGCGCTCCTCCATGCAGTCCTGCGGGGTTGGGGCTCCGCGGCGGCGCTCGCCGCCCCCCCCTCCCCATTTCTCCCCCCCCTCTGGGGGCTGCGGGCTGCCGTCACTTCCTGGCGTGCAGCGTGTCCTGGAATTTGGTGCTGGTGTAGCGCAGGTGGAAGCCCTTCTTGTTGATGGTGTCGTCAGAGTGGAAGTGCAGCAGCACCGCGTCTCCGGCGGAGTACAGCGGCTCGGGGGGCTGCAGGGGGGAAGGGGGGGGATGCACTCAGATGCACTGCAGGCATCGCCATGCACAGGAGCTGCACCCCTCCTTCAGACCCCACACCCCAACCTGGGGTCACCCTGCTGCATGCACAACATGCATGGATGCACACAGGGGCTGCACCCCTCCCTCAGCCCCCAAATCCCACCCAGGAGCTGCAGGCACTGTGAGCATCACCACGCACAGGAGCTGCACCCCTCCTCCAGCCCCCAAACCCCGACTTGGGGTCGCCCTGCTGCATGCAGCACACCCACTGATGCACACAGCAGCTGCACCCCTCCTTCAGCCCCCAAACCCCACCCAGGAGCTGCAGGCACTNNNGCAGGCACTGTGAGCATCACCATGCACAGGAGCTGCATTCCTCCTTCAGCCCCCAAATCCCACCCAGGAGCTGCAGGCACTGTGAGCATCACCATGCACAGCAGCTGCACCCCTCCTCCAGCCCCCAAACCCCAACCTGGGGTCGCCCTGCTGCATGCACCACATGCATGGATGCACACAGCAGCTGCACCCCTCCTTCAGACCCCAAATCCCACCCAGGAGCTGCATGCACTGCAAGCATCACCATGCACAGGGGCTGCATTCCTCCTTCAGCCCCCAAACCCCACCCAGGAGCTGCAGGCACTGTGAGCATCGCCATGCACAGGAGCTGCACCCCTCCTCCAGCCCCCAAACCCCAACCTGGGGTCGCCCTGCCGCACGCAGCACCGCATGGATGCCCACAGGAGCTGCCTCCCTCCCTCAGCCCCAATCCGCCCCGTCGCAGCGCTCACCCCGGAGCCGCAGAAGCGGCCGAGGCGCGGCGCGGTGCCGTCGGAGCCGTCGAAGAGCTCCAGGTAGTCGTAGCCGCAGTCCGCCTCCTCCTCCACCTCGAAGCTCTGGAAGATGAGCTCCACCCCGTAGCCCCGCTCGGCCGCCAGCACCCAGCGGCACTCGCTGCCCCCCGGGTACGGGGCGTCCCCGAACTGCGCGTGGGAAAACAGCTCCTGGGTGCGCACCAGGGCGCGGAGGTGGCCGCCACAAACTGCGGGACGGCGCCGTCAGCGGGAGCGGCAGCGGGCGGTGGGGGCGGGGGGGCAACGGGGTGAGGGGGGGAATGGGGTGATGGGCGATGGGGGGCACAGGGTGATTGGGCAGAATGGGGGGGAAAGG